GTCTTCGAAATAAAATAGGAGACGACTATTTGCGGACTATTTGGTAAGTTCTATTGAAAGATATTTGGCATCAAGGATTAGTTCTAATGACATTACTATGGTATTAGTACTCGTAGAGCTAATTTTAAGTCAACTGAGATGTAATTTTTGTTTGTGTACGGCAAAACAGTAAACATATGTTGCCTTGTTTTGGTGTTTATGAGAGGTTGGAAGCCTTCTTTTGTATCTCAAAACAGATGTTATTTTCTTATCTAGCTACATCTACATGAACATTAATACTATATAAGAGAATCCATTATGTCACTGACTTTGTCACACGTCTACAATTTGCCATTGACTTTATCACATTCTATAATATGTCATCAACTTTTGTTTAACTTCTACGATTTACCATCACCGTCCGGTTAGCCTCCTTTAGCACCGTACAATGTTTTCCAAATGACCAAAATACCCCTAGGACAAAAACTTCTAAAATTTGGACAAAAATATCATATTATAAACATAATATTGTAAACATCCAAAATTTGGACAAAAACTTAAAATCTGATATTTCAGAATTTTTATCCAAATTTTGAAAGTTTTGTCCCAGGGGTATGTTGGTCAGTTTGACAAATTTGTACAGTACTAACGGAGACTAACCAGACGGCGATGGTAAATCGTAGAAGTTAAGCAAAAGTCGATGGCATATTATAGAACGTGATAAAGTCAGTGGCATATAATGGTTTCTCTCTATTTATATACGTATATAATTTGATGGTTATCACCCATGTGCTGTGTAACCACCCCCCCTCCTTCCCTCCCGCTTTATTTGTGAGGTATGACCCATCAATCCATCATATATTTGCATCATATGAAGGTGAAAGTTCAAGAGCCAGTAGAATTTGTTTCGAGCACTATTTGATCAATAAGGCTCAATGGAAAAGGGAGGCAGCAGGAATCAAAGCTAAACAGACGGTCTGGATATCTGTTCCAAGTGCTGATGTATTTCATTAGGAAACAATTAATTGCAGCTTACAAGTATCAAAATGAGTGAAACAGATCTGGATGCTCGTGATTACTTGGGGAGTAGCACAAGCACTTGCTGTAGTCGCAGCTCTACTTACACGAATTGGGGGGGGGGGGGGGGGGGGTGGGGGGAATCATGGATGCATGCATTGCATTTCTGGATGGCGGGGTCTGATTTTGTGTGGAATTTGCCGAACTATAATTTGGCATGTTTTAGGCTGTGTTTAGTTCAAAACTTTGGATGCAAAGTTTGCAACCAATCATTGAGAAGTGACATATCAAATTGCAAACTTTGCAAGGGGTGTTTAGTTGGCAGCCCAAATTTGAAGGATGGAATGAAGAAATTTGAAAAGAGACAAAAGTAACCCTATTTAATGCAGCTCCATGAATAAAACATATGACACAAAACTTGCATTCACACACATTCATACGTTCAAATTTCATGCACACACATTCAAACTGTCAAATTGCATGCACCTTGCACATGACAATTGAAGAGCTGACATCCACGCCATGCACATATGCAAAAAAAATAGGAACAAAAACAATCCTTACAAATAATTGTCATACAAGTTTAAATTACAACAGTCCGTAGATAAAACTGTGAAAAATTACATTGCAACGGTTGGAGCTCACATGTTGCTAGCTCAGCTGAAAATTGTCAGAAAGTACTCCACAAACACTAGACATCCATGACTATGCCGTCGCGAAAAAATGTTCTCTAACATCACAAGTAACAGACAGAAGTCCTCACATATTACAGGAGAAGATTACAAGCCTCACAAATTACAACAACACTTCCATGTGGTGACATGAAGCACATGGCAAGACAAGTGCAAATACAAATAAATGAGAGAACAAGTTTATGGAACCTAGGGTTGAAATGGCTCATGCTCGATGCAACAACTCGAGGGCAAGTGTATCACGAAATGCATTCATATGTTCACATTGTAAGTAACTAGGAGCCTCGTCCTCCGGTGGCTGATCTTCATAGGCCTCAGGAGGAACATAATTCTCATCTCGGTCGCAACGACCAAAGTGTTTATCCCTTAAACCAGCAAGCCTTATGTAATTATGGAGAGCCATGCAAGCAACTATGATATGTGTTTGAATTTCACGGGGATAACAAGGCACATATTTCAATATGCGCCATTTCTGCTTGAGTACTCCAAATGATCGCTCAATGACATTTCTAAGGGAGGAATGTGCGTAGTTAAATACCTCCTCTTTACCTTCTGGTTCTGGCGCGTTTTGAAACTCGGTGATATGGTACTTCGTGCCCTTGTACGGCGCCAGGTACCCAATCCGGTTTGCGTATCCCGAGTCCACTAGATAGTACTTCCCTGCAGCGGTAATCACCTGTAAGTTACACGTTATGGAAGTTAGACATTGCAAAATTACAACAGGTAGCTGTGTACCTGGAGGTGGATGAGGGAAAACATGACTGTATGTACTCATTGCATTGTGGAACACCCTCATGTCATGCACTGAACCCGGCCACCCAACAAGCAAAAAAGTGAATATCATGTCAAAGTCACAACATGCCATCACATTCTGAGTTGTAATGTGGTGTCGGCACATGTGCTGAACCAACAGATCTTTCGAAACCTGAACAGGAATGTGGGTTCCATCTATTGCCCCAATGCAGTCGTTGAAATAAGGATAGAACCTAGGGTTCCTTAGTCTTCCATGCAAAGTTGTGAACTGTGGGTCGCGTGGTTTAATTATGTCAGCAGCTAGCTTCAAAAGGCTTGCCAAAACTTTGTGAAACATGTTGTGCACTGTTCCTAGAGAGCACTCAAATCTGTCCTCAGCTTGCCTAACCAACTGTGGAGCCCCACACATCCAAAGGAACATTCCTAACACCTCAATACTTGTAGATTTTGTGCTAGACTTGAGTTCATATTTGTCGACCAACAGATCATGAAGACTATAGAACATATCAGGGGTCATTCTAAACATGTTGTAACACCGCTTCCTATCTGCAAGCTTATGCTCTACCCATTCCAAACCACTCATAGTTGTGCTATGATCTCTATAATCAGAGCGGTTGCAGTACTTGTCAATGTGAGTAGCGATAAAATACGCACCGTACAGGAACGTGGTGTCCGCAGAATCGTCCATGAAGTATTCCACCAGAATTATTTCCAAATCTTTGTCGGAAACTTCTTCGCTTGTATCCGCAGGATCAGGCCGCACGTCCTCCTGTAAAAATTTACAACAACAACGGTAACTTTCATACATAGTCATAAGTAAGAAATGAATTTGGAACGACAGACATACTACAACTTACATTTAATTGCCAACATTACGCATGACATAGTTCGAAACACAACAGTAGCCCACATTACTTGAAGGACAATGCTAACGGACATAGCACCACTAACACAGAAAGCACCTCACAGCCCAAAAGACACAACTAAGGCTGATACATTAACATGTAAAGCAAGCATGAGAAGGTCTAGTTGTCGACCCGTGCGAGGTGCTCAAGGAGGGTCTTTCTTCCTTCAGGATTGGACAGCTCAAAGACATTGATTGCATCTCGATCCTTCAGCAGCTTGAACATGGCAACCCACAAGGGCGGTGTCGCCTCTGTGACCCTGCACTCCCTACAGAGTGCCATGATGCGCTCGGCCTTTTGCCGCGCGCGAGCGTCATCATCATCCCTCCTCTGGTCTAAACGGCCAAATAGGGTGTCAATTGATGTCGCTTTGTCCTTCTGAAGATTGTTGCGCACCTGCATTTCTTTCACCACGGCGCGGACGGCTGGGCTCTTCAACTTCTTGCTCGGACTAGTTGCCATGCTCCTAGTGCTTGGTGTGCTCCTCATGCTGTGCGACCTCTTCGTCCCAACGCTGCTAGGGCTTAGGGGGTCGAAGTAGTCTTTGTCGGACTCTTCGTCATCGTCGCTGTCCTCAACATCGACAATGGGGTTGGCCGGCTGGGATGCGCGGTGCGTAGGAACAAATGAAGTCGATCCGTCGACAGCCACCCCCATGAACATGCGGTCCAGCTCATCGAGATGGTCGGGCATCCCGTTCTTCAGCTTCCTCAATTCAGGATGGCCTTGGAAAAAACGAAGGCAGCAGTCAGATGCATGGGAAAGAGCAAGAATGAAAGTGCAGAACTTAATATTGAAGTTTTTGTACCTTCGTGTTGTCATCCCACCACTTCTCAGAAGCAACGACGGTACCGTTAGGCCTGCGGCCTAACCTAGTGTCTGTACGCAATTTCTGTATAAAGGTCCACATATTTTTCAAACCCCTGTATTCATGATCTCCTTCCACCCAGTTTTATTCATGGTTCCCCTTAAGCAGTTCCCCCTATCTATTTGCTTGCAGTAAAGCTCGCAAAAAAGCTTGGTGTTCTCATTTGTCCAATTTGCCCTGTCGTTGACATCCTAGATGCACAAGTAAACCGAACGAAGCAATGACCTTCGCACTTATCAATCAATGCAAATTAAACAACTTTATAACAATGAACTCTCATCTCACTATGTCATGTTAATGCTAAAATATGTGCTGCAATGTATGTCATTGCTGTAAAACTAACCCTTAACAAAAGAACTGTGAGCAACAAAGTCAAAGTCAGTAACCATACGGACTAACCGTAGCTCTAACACATTTCGCAAGTATTGCAGTAGCTTTAATTCACATGGTTCAACAACTATAATACATAGCAACTAATGAAACGAAGCAGTTCACAAGAATATGTTCAATTGCCAATCCACACATTGCAAGAACTTAAAACGGACGTACCTGTGTCTACCGAGGCCGTGAACCGCGACCCCTACCTCGGCCTCTACCCTGAGAAGCAGCCGGAGCTGGCGGCCGGATCGGAGGCACGAAGACGCCTCCTTCGCCTGTACCTCCAAATGGCGGAGCCATTGGCGCTTTGAACCCAGCAGCAACGGAATGCGGAGCCATTGGCGCTTCGAACCCAGCAGCAACGGAATGCGATCCGCCGAGTCCTCCAGCCGACATCGGAAGGGCACGTCACGCCCCAGATCCAGAAGCCCCTTGAGCACTTGGCCAGTCGCGCAGCCTGAGCGTGCGATTTCCTGTACGGGCAGGAACGCGTACGCCGGGAGGGCATTGAGTTCCCTCCCCACCGCCGCCTCGAAGAAGGTCTTCGTAGGCGTGCACGGACGACCAGTCGTCGCCGGAGTTGAGGTCGAGTGCCCCGAACTCGAGACGAGAGGGGTTTTGGCTGCTCGAAGACCCCTCGCCGAATCCACCCGAGCTGAACGACGGGTGGCCGCCATCTCGGGACGCATGGAGAGGCTGACCGAGGAAGTCGCGAGTAGGGATGCCGGCGCCGAATCGATGCTCAGCCCCGTATAGCGGGCCGGTGGTCCCGCCGCCGTACGCACCTAAGCGGCTGTCCGGCACGTATCCGCCGAGGTGGCTGCCATCGCCGAATACGCGCACGGCGTTGCCGTCGCCGTACCCGCTCACGTGGCTGCCGTCGGCGAACCCTCCTCCGTTGTCACCGTTGCCGTACCCGCCTCCGTCATGGCCGTCGCCGTAGCCGCCCCCGTTGTCGCCGTCACCGTTGTAAGAATCCATCGCACACTCCGGTTGATCCTGGCCCACAAACCGCCGCGGAGCTGATGGATATGGACGACCTACCCTCCGATTCGCCGGGGGAAGGCTTGGATTTGTGCGGCGGCGACGCGTTGGACAGTGAGCGGAGGTGGGGGAGAGCAAGCTAGGGGTCGCGCGTGTGACGACGCGATGGGGAATGGATAGGAGCGGTGCCGACGCCTCCTCCCAGAGGTATAACGGGCCACACATCCCCTAGGGTACTGTTTGGGCCATTAATGTGCGAAATGGCCGAATTCCACCTCCCACCCTGTTTAGATCCAAAGTCCCGAGTACACCCCTTTCACCGATTTATTTGGCACTTTGGGCCTATCTAAACACAGCCTTAATCTTGGTTTTAGTAAAAAATAAAGACATATTTCATGGTAACCAAATCATGCAACTGAAAGCCTCTACAGAATACGCTGAAAGTTCGCTGGAATACATGTTAACATGTTGAGTACATAGAGAAACAGATTTGGTTACAAAATAGAGAAACTTATAGAAACATGGACACAAAATAGAGAACTGAATGTATCTTAAGGTGCACATTATTTTCATCCAGAAACAGGTATCTCTTGTTTCTATAAAGCTAATACCCACTAAACATCTAAAGCTCAACATGCAAGCATAGTATTTATTAGCACTCCTAAAACCTACATGCAAGCATACCACGTCAACCCATTAAGCATGCACACAAAGCTCCACAATGCAAGTATATAGTAATCATGTCTACAATTTATTTTATTCTAAAACTAAACATACACATGCTAAATTATCTTTCTCAAATCATTTTCATAATATTTCAATCCAAATCATTTTATCATTTCTCCAATATCTAACATATATCCCGCAGCAAAGCGCGGGGTATCGTCGAGTACGTACTATGGGAGAGCAAGTATAAGAAGCACTCCCCTTCTAAATGGGTTGTTCGCAACTACTCCCTCCATCCCATTATAAGTGCATCCGGGAATTTCCGTGCAAAACTTTAGCCGCCGCCGCCGCCAGGGTCGTCTTCCTCCTTCCGCCGCCAGCCGCGCCCTAGCCGCGCGCAAGCCGCCGCCGCCCCTTCCAAATTCGGTTGCATCTTTCCCGATCTGATCAAATTGGTAGAGGGGAAATGATCCCCTTGATCTCCTCTATCTTTTCCCCTATAGAAACTTCATCTAATTTTGTTTGGAAATCATCAGATTTGAGCTCGATTCGGATTTGATTTCTCTCCTCTAACCCTAAACCTTCCATCGCCGCCGCCGGACGCCGTGGGTCTAGCCGCCGCCCCCTAGCCCCTATATAAGGACCCCCGAGACCTCCTCGGTTCGCCACCACCTTCGCCTTAGGCCGCCGTCGCTTGTAGCACCGCCTCCGCGTCAGCCCGTGCATCGCCGTCACCGCCGCATGTCCAGTCGTGCGCCGCCGCCGCTCTTGTCGTCGCCGTCGCTCGGGAAGGCCGCCGTCGGGTTCGCCATGTCGTCACCATCCCCGTCCCGTCCTCCATTTCCGCCGAAGACCGCCGGAGCATCGCCGTCATCGTCGACCTGAACGCCTCCGCCGCCTCGACCTCTCCGCCGTCGCCGTCAGTTGCCGTCCGTCGTCGTCCGAGCCCTCGCTGAGTTCGCCGCGTCGCCCTCTACCCATAGGTGTGGTCTATTTGCGCCGCTGCGCCGTCGTTCGCCGGCGAGCACGAGGTGTCGAGCCGCCGCCGGTGATGACGTCATCATCGACGTCAGCGCCACGTCAGCCGTAGACCCGTGGTAGATTAGATCGATCTCGACCGTTCGTTCGGTTTGGATTAGATCTCAGCCGTTTGTTTCGTAGACCATTTGCGTGCACCCGGTCCACCGTGAACCTGAGCCCGCTAACGCAATAAATCCTTTTTCCTTTTCAAAAATAATTCTATATAAATGATTCAATCCGGTTTAATCTTTAAAAATTCATAACAAATTCATCTTAGGTCAGATTTAGTTGGTTCAAGTCTCTAAATTTTTCTAAAACTGAGATCTACATGTTAAAAATATCCACATATGCTGTTTATGATTGTTTATGTACTGTTTTGGTGATTTTGCTCTTTTATGTTTAGATTCCGACGTTCCCGGAGAGTCCGATTTTGCAGGAGAAGATTTTGAAGAGTTCCAAGGCCAGCAAGGCAAGTCACACAGATCCCAAACAACCCTTTGAGCATGATGATCCTGTTTAAAGCTATTATTTATATTCAACTATTGGTGTTTGAAAATGTGTTTCCTATCAAAGGAAGAAAGCCTTTTGTTCATGCTTTATTGCCAATGATGTGTATATGTGTTTTCTAGTTCCATATTGTACTTGCTGAGTATTTTTATACTCACTCTTGTGTTTTATTTGGTTTTAGGTACATATTGAGACCGACATGCATGGGCGGGAAGTAGCACTCTTATATACACATTTATCTGCACACTATCAAACTATATTGCCTAGGTCCATAATGATACTTAAACTATATCATGGTTTGGTCTTGTAATAATCTTTTAGATTTCTAATAGTTTCTTCCCCATGGATTATAAGGATGGATCGTATTATGGGAATGTTATTGTTATTAGTTTAACTTATAATTGCCTGTCATGGATGTCCGTATTTACAGGGGAGACTCTACCGAAATTTCTAATAATTTTGGGAGTTAGTGGTTTGAGAGTATGTTTGGTGTGGCACTCTAGGTACGTGGTTACCTGGGGTGTTACAGTTGGTATCAGAGCGGGCGGTAGGTCCATGGGAAGTAAGTATGACAACTTAAAATATTGATCATGTTTTCCTTAGGATGGGGAAAATAAAAGTAAAATTTGAGTTAGATTTAAACTAATAAAATCTGACACACTGGTGCACAATAGGATGGGATTGGGTCATTCTTTGCATCACACTTTTGATTTATTTTATTGATTACTGATCTCTATCTCATTGTATTAGTGATTTCTGGAGTTATGCTGTTACTCGATATATATACTCTTTTACGAATAAGATCTAATTGTATATTAAGTAAAGCTAGGAGGTATAAAAAAATTATTCAGTTTTGATACATTGGTGCGGTGTATAGTGTGGAGATTAACGTTTGCGAATAACTATATTCGGAAAGCTATTAGGGAGAACAACATGGGGTTGCAATAATGAGTTATACTTGAGGTATGTGAGTGTACATGATAAGGTTTTAGTTTCCCTAGACCTTAATTAAACTATTTTGATCATGGCTCTAACTTGTGTTAATCTCTTTTATAGAAGTAATTAATGTTGTATCCTATAAGACTTAATGATCCTTTAAGAATAGGTAACTTTTCTTCCATATAGGCAGTGTAATGTGGTTAGAGGAGGGGACTTTTACTCTTTATTTTTTTCCCCAATGCCAAGTGAGGTTGCCCGAGTGTGAGTGTTAGGTCAGGATACATCTATCAACGTACCGAGTTAATAGTTTGGGTATGGGATGGATTGGCCCCCATGCCATCTACTCATTCTATTCTTTTCTTACAGTGGTGTGATTTGTCTATGTGTTATGCCTGACGCACCAACGTAGTGATGTCTTCACCCGAAAGGCAAAAAAAAAAAAGAGGAAGTTCCATTTTTCAGTCTTCAGATTCAAGGGCGATATGGCTTATTAGTTTCTTTTTGTGAGTTCTATTATGTGACTATGGTTGAGGAAATGAAAAAAATAACTTTCTCACTTGTGGTACATGTTCTGAAATAATTCCAAATGGAAAACATTTGACTTTGCATTTATTACTTTGTGACAAATATTCTCCAGATTTCAGAAAAGAATTAACACTAAATATTTATTTTAGTTTCACTTTTGTGGCTTTCATTCGCTTTTTAGTTCAAACATAAGTGTTGCGTGATTGCTTTGCACTGATAAATTATAAATTATTGATATGCACAATGCTATTTGAAAATACTAATTTAAATCTTGTTATGGACAACTTGTATCAAATCTGATTTTCTTTACCTAGTGATTTATTTTCATTACATGGCACAGAACTGTGTGCAGTATTGATATTCTTGGATTGAAGTTCACACTTATTTGATTATTAATCTTTATTTGAATTTTTTTATAGAATAGCTTCCGGATTCGCAGTTTGAGGTGACAAACAAACTCCAAATCTTTGATTTTTGGTTCATGAGTTTATGGTAAAAGATATATTTCCTTTTTGTTATCTTTTTTTTTAAAAAAATCAAGTCGAAGAGGATGCTTCCTTCTACGCATTTTCTTCAAAAAGTGGTTTTATACTCGGTCCATGTTCTAAATATTTCCATTGTCTTTACGTGTGATTCTTGAATTTAGTACAAATAGTCATTTTCATGATCTCAGATTTCTTAAGAAAACCGTGTTTGCGACTAAATATTCATTTTTTATGTTGTTTGTTTTGTTGCTTGACCTTCCATGTTTGATTATTTCTTTTCAATTACATGCACCCAACAAATTGTTTTTTATTGAGTGGATTTAATTCCTTTACTTTGGAATGTTTGAGTTTCATAGAAAATTCACGATCTATTGATGTTCAGAGCAGTTTTTGAGGAAAATGCTTTCGTCATAGTTACTCAGAAAGTTCATTCTAAGTGGAACAAGTGTGGCCTATGGTCCTTGAGATTGACTTCGTAGATATTGTTTATTACCTCCGAATAATTGACAATCAAAGATAGACTTTTAGTTGTTGAAGGGGAGCAACATACTAATAAGATGTGATGGGTGTGAGTGTTTATTTCTTTAAATTTTAAGTTAAAAGCTTGTGTTGTTTTCCCGATTCCCTTGAGCGTAAAGGTTGTTTTCACAATTTGTTCCATTGCTTTGTAGTGAGATTCTTCATGATGTGTTCCAATGATTCTTGAATATGCCCCAATTGGGTGTTTTAGTATGTGCATTGTGCTTCTTTGGCAAGCCAATATTCCCATCTAGTAGGTCTGAGTAGGTTTATTAGCTGTTTTTGAATTGTTGGCTACTAAACTTTCTTATGCTAGTTAATTATTACCTACCATAC